CCCCCACCCCCCCCAGTGGTGCCGTGCGCTTCAAGCACCTGGACATGGGGCAGTACGTCTTCGTAGACACAGACCACGAGATACTCATGGCGCCCGTGGACCCGGACTGGCGGTAGACCCCCGGACTGCTGCCGCGGCGCCCGGGCTGGCAGAGGGCCACCGCCGCCGCCGCCACACGCGCATGCGCGCCGGGACGCGCCCCGACCCTTGCAGCGGCGCGCTTTTGGTCCCCGTTCTGTCTCTGCTGGCCGCTCTGGATCCTGTCAATTCCCAAAACCGCACACCAGGGGGCCTCCGCCTCTCCTCCTCCTGCATCCCCGCAACCCATGGCGCCGCCCTCCTCTCGGACTGGCCGGCGCATCTCCTTGGGGCCCTGCTGCTCCGGGCCCCAGCCACGCATCAGGGGGGGGTGCGGCGCGGGGACCTCATCGGTTACATCGCAGCAGAGTCGGCTGGGTCCAGTTCATTCTGGTGGTCGTCCCAGCATCATACTCACACCGCACACGACCCTCATGCGCCTCGCTCCGCCCCTGGGCCCCAAATCGCCTTCGCTCGTCGGCCGCGGGCCGCGCCTGCGAGCGCTGGGCGGCCGTCGCGGCATGCGCAGGTCGCCCCGGCCTGGCATTTGGGCGCTGAGGCGTGGCCGACAGGGGCTGGCAGCGGGGGCCCAAGGGGGCGGGTGTGGGCGGAGGTTTTGCGCCAGGACGCAGCGCCCCCCCCCTTCCCGCTCAACTTTTGGCCGAGAACTGACGCATAGGACAAGGGCAGCGGGCCTGCATTTCATCCCGTAAACATTCCGTTGCTGGGCCATGGCGCGGCGGCGGGCCGCAGCGGGCCCCTTTGTCTTGCCTTGGCCCCTGCCGCCCGCAGCGTCTTGTGCTGCAAACTTGGTTTTGACCAGCGGCCAATCCTCTTATCTCATCCCATCGCCCCGGCCCCTGTGGCTGCACGCGCCGACGCCTGTGCCGGCCGAAAGATAAAGACCCGCCTCTGCCTGAAGGGTGCGCATTTCCTTGGTATGATGGCGCTGCAGCGCTCGGCACTTCATTCCCCTCCGACAAACGCTGTTTGCAGCTGCTGGCAACGCCGGCAGCACCCTGCCGACGCCCGGCCACGCCGTATTGTCCCGGCATCCTGGTAACACACGTGTCTATGAGTGTGGGCAAGGAGTCAGCAGCCTTCCCAGGGGCGTCACGGTGGGCCCGCGCAGCAAGCGACATGGGGGCAAGCGCGGCCGGCCTGAGAGGGGCGGGAAAGGTAGCTTTATAGCACACAAGGGATCAGCGGCTGTTTGGGCGCGAGTGGTGGTGCGGGCGTGTGTGGATCGCCGCGCCCGCGCATGCAAATGTGACGCGGCAGGGCCGGGGCTGTCAGCGGGGAGCCGCCGCCGTTCCTGTGCCGTGACAGGCAGTGACACCAGCCACTGTCAGGCAGCGCTCACCCCTGCCTCCCACGCGCCCTTGCGACTGTCCATGTATCCCTTTGCTCTGGACGGAATTTACAGCGGCAGTGAAGGGCGGGCGCAGAATGGGCGCCACGACTACAACTTGCTCAATTTTTTTCCGATCCACTTGTGCCGTGCGGCTGCTGGCCGCACTTGCAGGCAGTCGTACGCTCCGCAGCCTCGTCTCAAGTGCAAAGCGCACAGGTCCCAAGCGCACAACGCATGCGGCCGAGCGTGCGCGACGCGCGGACAGGGCCAATTGTTGCGTGCATGTGCGGCGGCGGCGCGGAAACCCCTGGTCAAGGCGGAGCAGCAATCAGCGGCCGCATGCGCGTGTGCGCCCCCAAAATCTCAATGCACGGTGAGCCCGGCAGAGGGCAGATTAGTCAAGGGTGAACCTCGCGCCCGCATGCCAGCGCGCGTGTCCCCGCCGCGCCGCGCACCGATGCGCGTGCACGCGCGCTGGCCTCGCAGAATGGGCGGCGGCCGGCGCAGTGCAGCGCAGGCAGGGGCATGCTGCGGTGTGTGCAAAAGGGCGCCCAGCCTGCTGGGTCTGGTCCTACCATACCGTATGGCTGGCATAGGTGGGGGTCGAGGCAGCAGAGGCGCGCGGGGCCCGGGGCAGAGAGAGTGAGGGTATCATACATACACATCGTGAAGTGAGGCGCAGTGCGTGAGAGCGGCGTGCAGCCGCAAAAAGAGAGTCGCCAGCCGCGCAGCTCACGGATGGCCCTTTTGCAGCATAGCACGTCAAACCGGCACGCTCAACGGCAGCAGGCGGCCGGCGCGGCGCGGCACGTGGGTGGCGCTGCGCGGTCAGTTGGTTCTATGGGTGCAAGAGAGAGGGCAGCGCTCAGGAGGCACCTGTGCGCAGAGGCAAGCAAAGGTAAGCAGGGAGCGGCCCACGGCGTTTCGTATGCTCATGCCGGCGCGAGCGCCGGCGCCCCGCGCCCGCCGCCAGCGCCGCCGCCCCCGCCGCGCGCCGGCAGCAGGCGCGGCAGCGCGACTGTGAGCGTCAGCGATATGACGGCCGCGGACAGCCCGAACGCGGCGTTCGCGCCGTGCGTGTGCCAGATGCTCCCAAACACCGTGTTTGCGGCCATGGCCGTGACGGCCATGAGGGAGTAGAATATCCCAAAGGCGGTGCCCTTGAGGTGCGGCGGCGCGAGGCTGACGATGACGCCCAGCATGGGGCCCTGCACCACCGCCCAGTGGACGCCCCACAGGACGCAGGCCACAAAGACGGCGGGCGGCCAGGCGCCGCTGGCGAGCAGCACGAGGTCGCCCGCGATGAGCGCGGCCATGCCCAGGGCGAACGTCATCCTGGGTGGGTGATGTTTTTGGGGTTGGGGGTTGGGGTGGGGGCGTTGGGAGGGGGCGGTGTGCCAGGATGGAGGCGGCGCGCGCAGCGGAGGTGGGAGAGGTTGGGTTGGGGACGTGTCTGCCACCTCCAGTAGCCAACACCCATCCGTAGGCAACAGAGGCGGGGCCTCTTCTTACAATACTCCCCGGGCCCCCTGAACACACGCCTAACACACATGACACACATGATACACGCCCGCCCCCATTTCCCCCCCTCACCTGGGGCCGTGCTTGTCGTCGAGCTTGCCAAGGGGGTAGGCGCACAAGCTCACGCTGAGGCACAGCAGGGCCACCACCAGGGTCGCCTCCGCCTTGCCAAAGCCCACCTTGGGTTTTAGGGGGGGGGAGAGGGGGGGCACGTAAGACTCATCAGCAACCGGCCAGCGCAGCGCGCAGCGCTGATTTCAGCTTGAAACAGCAATACACTGGGGCATTCGCATTCCAATGCCTTGCCGCCTGGCGCACACCACCGCACTAGCGTCCCTGCCAAGACCTGCACAGGCCTGGCCATGCGTGCTCCATGCACACTGCATCCACATACACCCAAGCCCATGCACCGCCACGGCGATGCCCAGCCCGCCGCACACACGCATCACACATACACACACATCACACTGCATCATCAACAGGTCGTACATCAAAAACGCATCACCCACATACCTCTATGGCGCGCGCCTCCAGCATTGACTCATTGATGTGGCCCAAGCCGTAGAGCCCAATGACAGCCAGCGTCCGGTAAAAGTCGCTCCCCATGCTGCGCACGTCGCGCCACAGCGCCCGCGCCTGCTCCAGCACGCCTTGCTGCTGCTGCTGCTGCTGCTGCTGTTGCTGCTGCTTGGCCGGCTGCTGTTTTTCGTGCACCTGCTGCTGCTTGGCCGCCTGCTGCTGCTGCTGCTGCTGCTGGCCTGCGTTGGTGTGAGATGGCACGAACGCGAGGAAGGCCACCGTGGCCAGCGCCGACACACCGGCCGCGCCCAGGAAAATGGCCTGCAAGTTGCGAAAGGCCGCGGGCGGCGCGCGCAGGAGGCCTCAGTGGAGGCCACGGGGTAGCATACGACGGCGCGGCAGCATAGGACGGCGACAGGCGGAGCGGCCAGGTGTTCACCCTGCATGGCCCCCAGGAGCCCGCCCGAGCCCATCGGCGCGCGCCAGCGAGCGGCGCCGCCGCCACCAAACACAGGTACTATCGAAAGCCAAGGACTACCTCGCCAGCATGCCCCACAAACCCTGCGAGGGGCCGCCCGGCCTTGCTGCCTTTTTCCTGCACCCCACCTCACCTGGTAGTTGTTGCCCGTCGCCTTCATCAGCGCAAACACGAGGCCGGCCCCTATGAAGCTGCCCGCCTTGCGCATCGACTGGGCAAAGCCAAAGCACGCGGAGCGGCTGGCGGCGGGGGAGAGGTCCCCGATGAGCGCATCACGAGGGGCGGCCTGGGATGGGGTGGGGCAAGGCGCGCAGGATGGGCGGGCAGTGCAAGCGGTCGGCTTGATGCTGTGCGCCGTAGATGCTGGGGGTGGCGACGGTGAGCTTGTCGGCGCCGCCACGCCACGCCCACTGCCCTGACTCCCACACTGCACGGCAGAGGCGCCGCGCTGCTGGATGCGAGGCCCTCACCCCCAACCAGCCCCCTGCTCCCAGCTAAGCTACACTGCACCGTACCACACCACACCACACCGCACCACACCGCACTGCACTGCACTGCAATGCACGACACAGCATCAAAGCGCACCGTATGCATGCGTTCAATCGGCCCAGCCGCTCACCTGCACGCCATTGCCCAGCCTGTCGATGGCCTTGCCAATGAAGAGCTGCCCGATGGTGGTGGCGAAGCTCATGCCGCACTTGGCGGCTGCGCCCATGGCGAAGCCAGCGGCGATGGCGGCCTTGCGCGAGGCCATGCGGTCTGAAAGGACTCCGCTGAACATGCGCACCACGTAGGAGAAGGCCTCCAGGACACCTGGTGCGTGTGAGTGAGAGAGTGTGTGCGTGGGTGGGTGTTTGGGGATGGGGTAGTGACGAGCAGAGCTGCTGGTCGCATGGAGCCACGCTCACCCACCTGTACAAGGATGAACCCACCTGCATCACCACCCCGGAGAGCACGCACAGTCAACACACACACACACACACGCGTACGCGCGCGCGCGCGCACGCGCGCACACACTCTGACGCACGCTCGCACGCACGCGGACACACCCAAGGCACCCCTGCAGAACCTTTCACAACCCCTGCTCCTGCCCCCGCCC